TGTCTTCCTTGACCTCCATCCCATGTCCCCCACTGCCTGTAGACCAGACTCACCAAATCTTTGCTTAAAGGACAATATAGTAGATATTTTAGGCTGGTGGGCTACATGGTCTCTGTTACAACTACTCGATTCTGCTTTTGCTCTACTTTTTAAAAATAGTGCAAAAACAGCCGTAGGCAATAGGTAAGCAAATGGGCATGTCTGCATTCCAATAAAACTATACAAAAACAGGCAGTTGCCCATGGAGCTGTGGTTTGCCCGACCCTTCTCTAGACCAGTAATTAGGGTCAGGTCTCAGCATTGCCTGAGCAGGAAAGTACAGTCCTTGCTACAGGAGGAAATAACTTACTAAAAAACTACAGGCTAGCTGATATATATTAGTAGGAACACAGAGAGACACATAAGGGAGGAGATCTTGAGGGTGTGGGACTGGATGGGGGAGATGGGGAATACAGATGGGATAAAAAGTTTTTCTAGAGCCTCTCTCTTGATTCAGCATGGAACACTCTGGTAAGGTCCTGTGGTCCTGGTCCTAAGACATTGCGCTGCTGAATTGGTTGGTCCTTAGAGCTTAAACTTGGCCGTGCCCTAGAGCGAGTGAAGTGGTGATACTGAACAGCTTTGGGAGAGTCTGGGGGAGGGGTTGGAAGGCTCACAGAGGTGGACAAGATCTCATGGGCTCACTGCATGAAAGCCCACCTGCTTAGTGTCCTCCCCAGGAGGACACTCCCTTCTCCAAGCAATAAAGGATGCACTAGTGAGAGGAGGATGTGCTAGTTGAGCTTACTGTCTCAACAGAGACAGTAAGATTCTAGAGGAGCAGAGGCCACAAAGGGCCCCTGAATCATCAGAGGAAGGTGGACACAGGCCTGAATGGTAACCAGGGGCCCTTGATGTGAGGATCCTATGGCAGAGGTGTTCCCCAAGGTAAGAGATGAGCATTTGATGAGGGCATTGCTTGACATAACCATAGCAGATCCTGGGTGGTGATGCCATTTTCCAGGATAGAAAATGGCACTTTCTCACTTAGTTTCCAGATTTGAGCTAGGTTTCACACCCAGAACTACTGAGTGAAGCAAAAGCCATAGACCACTTTTTAAAAAAAGATTTATTTATTTATGCATATAAGAACTGGGGTGCAGGCCAGAGATGGGGGCGGTGAGAGGATTCACCAGAGACAGAGTGGGGAACAGAACATGCAGACTGATTGAAATACACTGCTAGGGGGAGCAGCGAGCAAGACAGGAGAGGTCTGCTGTGCCATGTGGGTAGCAGAGACTGTGGATAGCTTCACTGCTGTACTTAACCACTTGCACCACCAGGGAGACCCCAAGACCACTATTAAGTACATAAATACTCCATTTTCTTCCCAAAGTATGCTCTGGCTAGTTACAAGAAGAGCTATAGAGTATTGAAAAAGAAATAACCAGATCTTTTGAGGTCTGTTGAGCTAAGATCTGGGCTTACATTGTGTAAGGGGCAGGACCTGGATACAGTGCAGGTTTTCTGATCCCATGCAGACCGGGTCAAGGAGGAGCCAGAGTCCTCAGTAGTTTTGCAGGTTTTTTATTTGGGGTTCACCAGGCATATGGCAGGCAGGGGTGCTGGCTGGGGGCCTGCCAGCCTCCCAGCCCCCAGCAAGTCTTCACTCTATCTGGGCTCTCTAGCGTTCGTTCTGCTGCTTCTCGGCTTCTCTTTCAGCTTCTGCTTCTGCTTCTACTGCTGCTACTGGTGCTGCTCACGTCCCCTCGTGACGCTGCCCTTAAAAGCACAGTCTTAGCTCAGCTGAATCCCATCTACCTATGCCCACACCCTATTCCAGGTGCCCGCCATCAGGCATGCATTCAGGACAAGGATCCATCATCTATCCTGATGGCAGGAGGGCAGAAAAGCCTGATATTTTCTTTACCCTACACATTGGTACCAGGTAACCCAAAATACCATTACAATTTCCTTTTAGAGTGGGGAGAGATATGAGGCCAGATGATATATGGAATCCTAATGAGGTTCATCTGAGTCTGATGGGCCCAATGGGTGTGTGGGCCCACACCTGTGGTTATCGCCTAGATCCTGCTGCAAATTGGGATGGACATACATAGCAGGGAGCAGAGCCCTCACATTGGTTCCCTAACCTGTGGAACAAGAACCATTATGAAGGAGCAAGTAGAAGTCTCTAAAATTATCTCACTGGTCAAGATAGTAAATCAGAAGTAATACCACATCCCAGGTAAAATTGCAGAAGTTAGCAATACCCTCAAAGACTCAAGGATGTGGGGTGGTTCTGTTACTGGAACCCAGCTGCTTCAATTGTGGGAACCTGCAGGAGCAGTGGTGATCTTTCACCCTGCTGCACCACCACAAGTTAGTTGTGGCAGTTGCTCTCAGCCCAGTAACTGCCTTTTTGTCAGTCATGGCAGTTGCTCCTCAGAGACCTTTTATATAGCAATGAACTTCCTGGATCATGCAATGGACCAATCAGGTGTGAGCTACGAGCTGATTGGTGCTAAATGGTCCAATCAGCCACAGGATTGAAAACTGACCCAATCAGACTTTTGTTACCAGGACCCAGCCACCTCAGCAGCAGGAGGCAGCAGGGGGAGTGGTGATCTTTCACCCTGCTGCTCCCCCACAAGTCTGTTGTGGCAGTTGCTCCTCAGAGCCCTTTTATGTGACAGTGTACTTCTCGGATCATGGAATGGACCAATCAGGTGCTATGGGCTGACTGGTGAATGGTGCAGTCAGTCACAGGATTGAAAAATGGTCCAATCAGACTTGTGGGTGGGGCACCCTGAAAGAGGATATAAGCCAGGGTCAGAGGGAGCTGAGGGAAGACAGTGCCAGCCCTGAGAAGGACAGGATGCCAGCCCCTGAAGAAAAGATGGGTCCAGCCTCCAAAGGAAGAAGAAATAAGGGGTAGCTCCATTCCTGGCCTCCAAAGAAAGGAAAAGAAGCATCCAGAAGCCAACCTCCAAGGATGGAAGAGAAGCCGAAGACTTTTGCTGTTGGTGTAACACAACAACTCACAAAGAGCTGTTAACACTGGGTGTCTCTGGGCCTCCCCGGTGGCGCAGTGGTTGAGCGCTGGGTTGCAAAGCTGCCCGCAGCCTCAGCAGCGCCGGTTCGCTCCCCGGCTGCTCCCCGGCCACTGGAGGAGGGTCCCACATGGCGCGCAGACCTCTCCTGCCGCCCGCTGCTCCCCTCAGCAGTGTACTTCGGTCCTTCTGCCTGCTCTGCTCCCTGCTCTGGCTCTGGTGAATTCTCTCACCCTCCCACACTTCTGACTGTACCCAGTGCATGTATAAACAAAAACAAAAAAAAAACAACACTGGGTGTCTCTGACACCCTCTCTGAGGGACCAGTAGTGACCATCATTACTGGCCAGTGCTGTCCAGCACTCCTGGTGACCAGTGGTGACCATCACTGACACTATCTGGGTGAGACAGCCGCCATTTGTGGGTACAGTGAGCTCTTTGTTTCCCTTTTGTAGAATAAACCCCATGGTGGTTGTTTCTGAGCCTGAGGTTTCTTGCAATCATGTGCACAGTTAAGAACCCACAGACAGTGACTGTGGCACTGTCCTTTGTTAGGCTACAGTCCACAGGCCCCTATTGCGTGGGTGTTGTATTGCCATAGTCCTTGGTTTTTGTTTTTTGGCCTTTTGGGGTTTTTTGGCAGCTCTCTGGTCTCAGAGCCCAGGCAGGTGAGTGGCTGTTCCAGCCTTCCCTCCGGCCTCCTGCCTTGTTGCCCTTTTGTAGCCCTCTCTGCCCCTGTTTCAGTTCCCATCAAATCCCCCTTCAATCCACCCCATATTGCTCCTCTAAAAACAGTATTAAGCACAGCAATTGATGGTCATCCATGTAGTGGCCTGAATTACAGCCATCGTATCACATATGCTATCTTTACTAGAATAGTCTACACAGCCTCTGATTGTAAGAAGTTAATATGGCCAGTGCATTCTTTTCCAGTCCATATCAGCCAAGGGTATCCAAAGTGGGTCACATTCATTCTTTACAAAAATTCAGAGACCTATCTCGTTACTTTTCAGTGAGCAAATGAACTGGGGCATGCTGGGGCAACCCCCTATGGGAAAAGGCAAGTGGTTCTACAGCAGGCTTCTTACCACTAACAAGGGGCAGAGAACGGGTGGGCCTTTTTGGATTTTTGAGGCTGTATACTGCTCCAACCCTTGTGGCATGACTTGGGATGCTATCATGTTTGGAGTGCAGAGCAGAAAATCTTCTGTGACAGGCCCAAGCTATGGGACAAGCACTTGCTCCGACCCAGCACATCCCATGGCACTAGAAATATCCATAGAAGACAAGCAGACAAAGCAGTCTCTGTAAAGTCCCAACAGGAGAGCCTCATCTCAGTATCCTAGCATTCTAGAGCCAAGTCATTTCCTGTACAGAGAATTATTCAACATATGAAAAGTAGTCCTTGAACATACTGCACAATCAGGAGCAAATGTTTATTTTAAGCTGCCGTCTTAGGATTAATTATGAATAATCAGAAGGTGCAGGGAACAGTACTGTTCTTTTAATGATGCATTCTACACATCAGTAGTCCCACAATTTACATATCACTTTCTGCTATGGACATTTAGGTCGTCTCCAGTTTGGGTCTGTTAAGAATAGTGCTGCTATGAATGTCTTTTGGTGGAAATATATACTCACTTCTCTAGATTATTTCTCAGATAACACACCTAGAATAGAATCTCTGCATGATAGGACAAGCACAAGGAGGGGCATCTTTAAGGAAGATATTGCCAATTGTTCTAGATGTTTCTCAATACTTAAGATATTTTATACTTCTACCAGCAAGGAGTTTCAGTTGTTCCATATGCCTGTCAACACTTGGCATTGTCAATCTTTTTCATCTTAGTCATCCCAGTAGGTGTGTAGTGGTATCTTATTGCGGTTTTAATTTGCATTGTTCTGATGAGTAATGATATCCAACAATATGTTCTTTACTTAAGAGACCACACAACAAACCAAAACATTGACACTGGTGATCTTTGCAGAGGTGTGATGATTTATTGTTTTTGTTTGTTGTCTGTTTTTTTTTTTTTTTTTGCCACATGATCTTCCTGTTTGCTACACTTTCTGCATTTTTTTACTCCAAATGTGTCATTTTTTTAATTTATAAAACCTCCCCAAACCTCCACCTACTTGTTCTTATAAATAACAAAGTATATTGACCACAACAGTAATAGTACAAGTAAAGTTACCAAGAAATATTTATTGAGCACCTGCTGTATACCCAGCACTGTGGGAGGAGCTGTGAAGGACACAGAGCAATGCAGGACATGGTCCCTGCCCTTAAGAGGCTTACAGTCTAGGTGGAATCAGGAGAACCAGGACACGCGGGGAGCCTGGACAAAACAGGCCAGGGCAGGATGTTATGGGAGCTGGAAGGCATTTGGGGTCAGACCCTCTAACTGCTTTGGTGTCTCCAGGGCTCAGTGTTTAGAGCCAGGAAAGACAATTCACAACTCCCAGGTCCTTATCAGCCCATTTTATGTGTCCAATCCACAGCCTCTACTTCCATCATCTTAAAACACCTGACTCCTTGTTCAGCTGCTTTTCAAAGTGCAATGAAAATAGTGGGGGAGGAGGGGAGGGCATATGGGGAAGGTGCTTGGATGAGTTCCGGGCTGGTGTCACATTCTTCCTCCTAGGAAAGTCTGCTCCTCCCCACATGCTCCTTACACAGAGAGATTCCCCACTCAAGGAGGCAGGCCTGCCTGGCCACCCAGGGCCCCTCCCCCAAGAGCTAAGAGAGGGGGTCATAGCTGTTTGAGCTACCTGAGGTAGAACTGGGGACCCCTACTTTTAACATGTCTCTTCTCCTTTCAGTCCACTGAGTTGGGGAGGACAGCACCCCACAGCTGCCACCAGGGCTGAGAGGGGTTAGAGAAAGGACATGGGGGGAGGGGAGAGGAACAAAGGACTTGAGAGCCCAGCTGGAAAGGAGGGGCATCCAGGACTCCTAGAAAAGTGCAGGGGGGAGGGGGGAGCCAGCAGGGTGGAGGCCAAACATGGAGGCTGGCTCCTCTGCGGGCTGCAGAGGGAGTGGGGAGAGGCAGGGAGGTTTGCTACAGGACCCTACCTTCCCCATGCCCCATGACACTGCAGGCCAGGAGCATGCCAGGTCCAGCCCTGTTCCAGGCTGTGCCCACTTCAAGGTCACCCGGCCCCACCTTAGGAAGGTGAAGGAACTCCAAAGTTTTCATGATGCTCCCACTCTGCAGGGGCCCCCTTCAAAGTGCTATTTGTTTACTTCTCAAATGATAAAGAATGCAGGGCTGAGAATGCAGGAAAGGGGCAGAGTTTCCTAACACCCGGGAGACAGGGAGTACACCACCCCTCCTGAGAGTGCCACCCAGGGGTAAGGGTCATGCCAACCCACCTTACCCTCCAGGAGAGAGGAAGTGGAGAGTGGAAAATGAGGAGATTTTAAATAAGTTTGTATAATAAAAATACCTAGCATCCTAATAAGCCTATTGTACTGCTATCTAATTTTTTTTTAAATAATCCTAATGCAAGAGGCCAGGGTAGCAAGCAGGGTATGTACATGAGGAGTTTAAATTAAAACACAAATAATTAAGACATACAAACTGAAGGGCTAAGGCAGAAGATAAAGAGGGGGGCTCTGGGGGCCCCCCTTGTTTCCAGGAGTGCGGCCTCTGGTGAGCAGGTTAGGGCTTCCTCTTGGAGAAGATCAGCCGGCGTTTAGAGTGATAGAAATCTGAGGAGAGAGAACACAAGTCAGCCAGGCCAGGAGGAAGCAGGCACCACAGAGACACCCAGACAGGGCCAAAAGGACATCCTCCCCAGAACAGGGAAGAACCGGCAGCTACGCCGCCACCTAGAGCAGGGATGGGCATTTACGGGGCACCCCACAGCACTTCACGGATGTGACTGATACTGAAACTTACATCCACGGCCTGCACACGGCCAAGCTGCCTGGCATAGGAACCACCAGCCCTGTGCTATTTAAATGAACTCAAAGCAAACAAAAATTTCGGTTCCTTGGTCACACTAGCTACTTGTCAGGTCTCCTGGGTAACTGCCTCCTTGTTCTGGGACATCTCCACTCTAGGGATTCCACCCCATAGGCTGTGAAAAGGGCTCTACACATGACATGTCAGCTATTGCTATTGTTATTATCATCATCGCTATTGTTAGTTCTCACCCAGCTGCAAACTGGCGGTGGGGTTGGCTTCATCTCTCTGAACCTCAAGTTCCTCACCTATAAAATGAGGGTGATGGATATGGTGCAACACGAATTCAATGAAAGGCCTTCCAATAAGGCTTGGGTCTAGGGCCTGCATGTCAGCACCATTCATTCATTATCAAGGACCTACTCCATACTAGACACCATTTTAGGTGCTGGGGATTCAGCAATGACCAAGGGACATACAGACCCCTTTCTCATGGAGACGATACTCTAGTGGAGGAGGTGGATAACCAGCAAGAGAGGGAAGTAGTTTTTCATAAGGAATTTTTAATAGAAAAAGTGTCAAAAAGAAGACAATAGGCAAGGGGGGCCTCCCTGGTAGCGCAGGAGGTTGAGCGCAGTGTTGCAAAGCTGTCCGCAGCCTCTGCAGCGCCAGTTTGACCCCCACCAGCCTCAGAGCAACCCACATGGCAAACAGACCTCTCCTGTTTCACCCGCTCCTCCCCTCAGCAGTGTATTTCATCAGTCTGCCTGTTCTGTTCCCCACTCTGTCTCTGGTGAATCCTCTCACCCTCCCATGCATCTGGCCTGTACCCCGGCTCTTGTATAAATAAAAAAAATTAAAATCTTTAAAAGAAAAAAAAAGACAATAGGCAGGGCTTGGGGAACGAGAAGTACGTGTGATGAAAGAAACTTCAGTGTGGATAGGATGGCCAGGAAATTATCATCAGTTTTCTCTCTACCTCTCTTGTTTCCTTGCCTATATGAGTCGTAAAAATGTCACATGGTATAAGATGGAGATAAGGACTAAATGAAATCCATGTTAGAAACTTAGCAAAGGGCCTGGCTATTTATCCCAATGAATGCCAACCAGCTGATCTTGGCTGTAGACTGGCAGCCACTTCCTCTGGGATGGGATCCTATGGGTTTCCTATGGGATGGAATCCCCAGCCCAGGCAAGTTACTTCCTCTCTCTGGGCTGTTTACCTTGTGAAGGATGAGCAAACTGGATCAGAAAGGTCAGCCCTTACACCGTGAGTTTTGTATCTAGGTCCCTTACAGTGTCCTTCCCTGTCCCTGTCCTCACCTGTCATGCTGGTCTGCCTCCGTTTTCGGCCCTGAGAGGTTCCAGACCCACCAGGGGAAGCTTCAGGGCGCTCAGGGGTGTGAGGCAGGATGGTGCAAGATAGCGACAGGTCCACGTGGTCCTCCTGAGCTGTCCCCTGCAACAGGGCGGATGAGGTGCCAGGCCGCTTGCTCCCTCCTAGGTCGTCCCGGCCCCCCAGGTAGAACTTGGGCAGGCCGAGGCCCCGCACGCGCTCCCAGGCGAAGTCGCCTTCCAGTGGTGTCTCGGTGACAAAGTCGAAGTTCCACCGCTCACAGGCCTCCTGCACACAGCTGGCCATTGCTGCATCGCAATCCTGGCGGAGCTGCTCACTGTCCACCGGGCCAAAGAGGCGGCGGCATGCCTTGCTGCCCCTTGGGATGGGACGGGTATCTCCTGACGGCTCTGGCATGGTACCTGCGGCTGAGACACAACAAAGGCCTGGTCACTTGGGAACTGGGACCCTCCCTGGCGTACCCCCAGGTGAGATCTTCCTACTAGAACAGGAGGTGAGAGGGTGTCTCAGATTCCTTCCAGCTGTTTTTCCACCACCTCCTTCATGCAGGTCCCCCAAGCCTGCCACCAGTAGAAACTGGGTGTCTGGGGGCACAGCTGAACCAGCCTGGCACCCCAAGGTCACTAGGGAGTGGGTAGCTGAAAGGCAAGCTTATGTCAACAAAGTCAAGTTTAATGCAATCACAGGGATCAAGGTCCTGTTTACTACCAGGTATTATGAGCTCAAATCAATTTGTTTTCCAGCCTAGGGTGTTCCTCATAGGTGCGAATGCCCCCAGGACGTGTGAATTGCCAGAGTTCAGCAGTTTTCCAAACCCAGTTCTGGCCAAGAGGTCAACTCCTAAAAGAATGGACGGGCAGACTGCCCCTCTATCCTCCCGAACCCCACCCCCAGATGCCCATGGACAGTGACCTTGCTCTGCAACTTAAAAGTACCCTGGACTATAGGGAAAAAAACATGTAGGATCTAGTCCAAACTCTGCTGTTTACTACCTACATTTTTAAAAGGTACGAGTATCTTTGGGTTTGTTTCCTCATCTGTAAAATGGTGCTATTTGAAAGTTTAAAGACACGGTTATAGAAACAAGCCCCAGGTGAGTCCCTCCAAGTAAGGGAGATGGAGCAGGGTTGGGAGGCTCCTTAAGAATAAGGGCTGGGGGGGCCTCCCTAGTGGCGCAGGGGTTAAAGACATAGGCTATTAAGCAATCCGCAGCCACTGCAGCACCCCCCAGCCAGGGAGCTACCCACATGGCGCAGCAGACTCTTCTGACTCGCCCACTGCTCCCCTCAGCAGTTTATTTCAGTCAGTCTGCCTGTTCTGCTCCCCGCTCTGTCTCTGGTGAATCCTCTCACCCCCCACACCTCTGGTCTACACCCCAGTTCTTGTATGCATGAATAAATAAATCTTTAAAAAGAAAAGAACAAGGGCTCCGGAGCCAGAATGCCTGCACTGGAATCCAGTCTCTGCTCTGTGAGGATGAATCACCCTCTCTGGGCTCTATTTTCCTCATCTGTAAAATGGAGGCAGTGATAAGCAAATGCCTCAGAAGACAAATGTGAGAATAACTGAGTTAGTGTAGGTAACATGCTGGGAGCAGCATCTGGTACATAGAAGTACTTGGCAAAGAGAAGCATTGTTATTTCTCTCTGCCTTCAGTCCTGGCTGAGCTTCCTCCCTATTACTCCCCTGAGCCACCATCTCCTTCAGACAGCAGCTGACAGGTGCTGTGGTCTGAGGGCCTTTCCCAAGCATGTCATCAGGCAGGCAGCCTGCGGGTGAGGAGGGGCTGGGCAGGGCAGGGCCAGGCAATGATTTCTCCCAGGCGGAGCCACATCCTGCCAGGCACATCAGGTGATTTGAAGTCTAGACAATCTCCAAGCCCCTGCCCTATGTTGCCTGCATCCAAGGAACAAGTTTTGCAGGCAAAGAAAATTAAAGGTGACTGGTCTACCCGGTTCCTCGCCTCCTACTTGAAGAGAGGGGAAACCAAGGGTGAGAGGGGAAACTGAGGGTGAGGTTGTCCAGAAGGGAGTGCTAGCACCCATCTGTCATACTCTGGCCTGATTCCAAGGCTAAGTGACTGCACGATCTTGGCAGAGACTGGGTTTTCTTGGGGACAAGTCCCGATTTGCAGACTCTGGGGGTGAAAGCTCTGCTGAGTGACCCCCTAGGGCAGGAGGCCCTGGATCCATGCCACACCCATCCCTCCCCACCTACCTCCCATAATGAGTGGAGCCCACAACCACAGGTCTCAGCTGGTAGGGAGGAGATGCCCTCAAGTTTAAAGGCCAGGAGTTCAAAGAGATAGGAAACTTGCCCCCAAATCACACCAGGGTGACTACGCCACAAAGACATTACACCGTGCGGTGGGCGGAGCCCTCCAACAACCTTTGCCCAAGCTTATGGGCAAGACTTGGGACTCTTTACATATTTTTATGTACCAGGCAGGGGCTATTCTAAGAAGCTTACAAATACGCATTTTCCCAAGAAGTGGGTATATTAACTTTTTTTTACAAAGAGATAACAATGGCTTAGAGAAGTTAAAACTTGCCAAAGATCACACAGTTCACAAATGGCACAGGCAAAATTTGAACCCATGCCTGTTTGCCTAGGGTTCTGTGCCCTGGCATTGAACTCCACTCCCTCTAATTTTGAGGTTTCTTAGCCAGAGAGGAGCATCAGAATCACTTGGAGAGCTTTTTCAAAATACAGATTAATAAACCTACACACACACACACACACACACACACACACACACACACACACGCGCCTCCCCAGATCAAGTATTCAAATGGAAGGAGATTTAAGCTGTGTTTGGCGGGTTCCGGAGTCCTCCTGGGGTGCTGGCCAAAAGGCGACAACCACTGGGTAACCGAAAAGGTCATTCAGAGTCTTAATGTTCCCACTGGCAAAGGAGGAGAAGCTGGATATTCCCGGGCTTCTCAGAGATGAAGATGGTTCCAGAACCACCTTCTGCCCGCCCTTCCTTTAAGGCTCTCCATCAAAATAGACTCTCAAACCCAGTGTCCTAACTCCCAGCTCAGAAAACACAAACCCTTACTTTACAAACAAGTAACTGAGAATAGCTTCCCTTGTTGGCCTTCCTGCCTTAGACTTCAACCATATTTTAAGTCACAAGGAAAGAGTAAACGCTGTGCAACCAATGGGGTATTCTGTCTAACGGCAGGAGGCGGAGGCAGGCGGGGGACTGAAAAACGACCTTGCACCCGCGCAGGAGCAGCGGCGGGAAAGCCAGGCGGGCGCCGCCGGGTCGCGGGAAGACGGCTTGCGATCGCGCGGGGCCGGGAGGGGGCGCTGGTCTCCAGGAAATCACGCGCCGGGTGGGAGGTACGTGGGTAGGGCCTTGCACAGGGAGTTGTGATGAGTCAGTTTCCTGCAAAAAGCTCCCCGCCCGCCAAAACTTCGATTCCATTGAGGCTGCACGTCATAGTCGGGTGGGGAGGGGGTCAGGGGGAGGGGGGCCGGGACCGCGAACACGTCACTCTGAGCCAACCAGGCTTCCGAAACCCCCGCCACTGTTGGGAAACCGCGCGCGCCCTCGCCATCTGTGTCTCGCGCGCGCGCACGCACACACTCACACACACACACACACCCCGAGACACACACACCCCGCAGGAACAGGCGCACAGAAATCTGGTCCCTCCACCTTATCTCCACGCCCAAAATCACGGGATGAGTCAGATCCCTGGAAAATAAAAATAGACTAGAGTAACGAAAACAAAACCGCTGGAAAGTCCTCCCCAAACGCGACGTGGAGGGAGGGAATTGTCCGAAAGTGCCAAACCCAGCTCCAAGATCCTGTTCCTCGGGAGGGAGGACGCGAGGCTCCCCGCGGGCTCCGACGGAGCAGACAGACGTAGAGTGACCCGGGCCGAGCGGAGGCGCCCAAAGGGAGATGAGCCCTCCTGCTCCCCTCAGCCCCCGCAGAGAGGGAGTTCTGGACTAGATCGGGGCGCCACAACCCCAGGAGGCAGCTGACACAGGACCACGGCAGCGTCGCGCCCCCTAAGTCCCACCCCTCTAAGGATGCAACTCGTCCCGGATCACACCCGGGCTTGCGGCGCGCGCCCCGAGGCTCCGCCGTCCAGGGCTCCGCTCCGGCCCAGGAGTCCAAAGCCTTGACCCCGGGGCAGCGGGAGATTCCCCGCCGCGGTGAGAGAGGCGGGTCCCACTCCGGCGCTTCCTAAATGGACTGGCTGGCACAAGCCCGCCCATCGCGGGGCTGCGGCTCCGGGTGTCGGAAGGCGCGCACGGGGTGGGGACCGGACACCCGGTCCTGGATCTCCCGGTGTCCCGGCTTCCCTGGAACACTGTGTGCAGCCAAGTAGGTCTCCGCGCGGACTGAGAGAGACCACAGAGGGGCTGGGAAACGGACTTCTGGGGCGCCGCGGTCCTCCTGCCCGGGCGGGGTTGTGCCCTAACGCAGCGCGTTCCCAGGGGTCTCCCGGCCACCATGAGTCACCCCTCGCTGCTTTGAGGAACGCGTCCCGACATATTCCCAAGGGCCGGGGACACATCCCGCGCTGACCTCAGCGCCTAGCCCGGCGGCGGGCCCCGCGGCGTCGGGCATTCAACCTCAGAGATCCGAGCCGGGGCAGGACCCCTAGACACCAGAGGCGCCCAGGAGCGGATCCCCAGTGAACCTGCTCGGCTGGAGCTCTCCGCCCCTCAACGGCCCCACCGCGCACTGGGGTTTCAACCCCACGTCCCGGGCGAGCCGCGCCTAAGGCGCACCCTCCCCGACGTGAGCTCGCTCGCGGGGCTGCCGGTGCACGCCTTCCTTCGCCCCAGCGGAGTTTTAAGCGAAGGTAATAGGGGATCCCTGGAACTCGACCCCCTCTCCCCGACCTCGTCTCCGTCACGCCCGGACCCGTGCGACACGCGCACTTAGTGTCTCCCGCGCGCGCAAAATCGAGACCCACGCACTTCATCCACCTGTGGACACAGCGTGCGCAACACACGCACACATCCCCGTGGACACACAGCCCCGCTGACACACATCCCCGCTGACACACGCGGGCTTACACGGACACACTCGCGGACACCCGCGGCTCGGCACAGACCCGCCAGCCCAGGATCCGCGCTTGCCTTCCAAGGCCCCCTCACCTCTTCCAAAGGTCTCGTTGTGTCCGTGAGAGCGCGCCGGCTGCGGGTCTCCAATCCGCCGACTCACCTCAGCTGCGCCGGCCGCCGCCAACCTATAAAGGCTTGGAGAGGTCCGCCCCGCCCCGCCCCGCCCCCCGCCCGGCCCGCCCGCCCCGCCCCGCCGCTCCGCCCCTCGCCGTGCCAAGGACCGCCCCGGGGGCGTGCCATGCTCGCCCCTGCGTTTGTGCGCTTGACATGTTTTCGCCACGAATGAGCCAAACATTTGCGGGGGTTTTTTAGTGGGGGATGTGCATTGCCACTCCCCAGGTGGGAATGTCATTGTTAAGAGTGAGCCCCCTTTCTGGCGCATCCCAGACCGACCCTGGGCAAGGACTTACCCAAAGCGTCTGAAAAGATCCCTGGGGAAGACATTAATAAATGAAAATCCTTGCATAAAAATGATGCAGCTCACTTTGCAATTCCCAATAAAACCTCACTCTGCCACCACTGTTCCCAAGATCGCCTCTTCCCAAGCACACCCCAATAAAGTATCATGGACACCAGCAAGGAAGTCAGTCCCCTTTATTTCCCAGAGGAGAAAACAGACCCACAGAAGTACAGGGATGTAAAGATGTTATTGCCTCAGGGAAGGAAGAATTGGAGACATGTCTCAGGACGGACTGGTCTCCAGGGACAATGGAGGAAGTGGGGTGTTGAACTAATCTCTTCCTCACTCCACACCAACCCACCCTCACCTCAAAATAAGAATCTGTGATTGCAGATCTGACTGCTAGGGAAGTGGATGAGGCGAGTGAATTATCTCCTGGGTGCTCCTCACACACAGCCCACTGTGGCCCAGAGAAGTCCAGCGAGCCTCTCAGGTCACACAGCAAATAAATGGTAATAGTTGGGACCCAAGGCTTCCGCCTCCTGCCCTGAGCTCTTGTTGCCCCCTCTATTTCAGTGGCTCTACCATGTAGGTCACACCCAGCAGCCCTCATTTCCAAACAACATATTGAGATGACATTAGTGAAGACAATTCTGGAAATGTCCACTGGTGCTTCTGACAAATACAGAAGCAGGTGGGGTACCCATCTGCTCCTACCCAATAACCCTAACTCCTCTTGCACCCCATCTTTGCCTCCTTCCTTCATCTAAAACACTTGCATTTCTGCTGTTAAAAAGTTACAGAGAACAGAGTGTTCTTTCTAACAGAAATCCCACTAAAAAAATAGAAATCAGCTTGGAGCAGCTACAGTTACTGACATCTAATGTCTGGAAATCTCTGCCCAGACATGCCCAGTCTTCTTCCTACAAGGCAGCTGACCTCAGGAGGATGGGCTTCCTCTACCGCAGGATGGGGAGCTGGGGAGCGAGGTAGGGGGTAATGGGTGGGAGGGGGCACAGATTCTCTAGCCTGCCTGATATTGTTGTCAGGCCAGCATTGGAGCTGGACTTCAAGAGAGCCTCTAAAAAGCCAAACCCCCAGGACCGGCCCTCACCACCCCCCAGCTCCTTTCTCTACTTCCCCACCCCTACCACCCAAAGGCTGGTTGTCAGATGCCCAGCAGAGGACAGGCAGATCCTCCTGCTGACTTGAACCCCTTGTTGTTCAGACTTTTCAAATAGACTTGACATTGTCTGTCTGTTTACTTTGGGGAAAATTTTTTTTAATGAAGGCTTGTATTGAATTATTTGAAGTTTTGTGGTACTGAGCTTCACAATGAAGTAATTCTTTTTTGTTGTTGTTGGGAAGCAAGGTTTTTGTTTTCTCTTAAAAAACAAAACAAAACCAGGGCCTCCCTGGTGGCGCAAGGGGTTAAGCAGACCTCTCCTGTCTCTCCCACTGCTCCCCTCAGCAGTGTATTTTAGTCAGTCGGCCTGTTCTGTTCCCCACTCCGTCTCTGGTGAATCCTCTCACACACCATCCCCTGCATCTCTGGCTTGTACCCCAGCTCTTATATGCATAAATAAATAAATCTTTAAAAAAAAAAACCTTTAGCTCACCATCATCACAACAGAATTCAACACATATTTGTTAAGCATCTACTAAGTGTCTGGAACTATTCAATACTTTGAAAAACAATTTTCCAATGGTACACTTGAACATGTAGCCAGACAAACTTTAAAGAGGTCAAACAAGCAGGTTTTTAGAAATCACAGACAAGATCTGAACCCCCCACTCACACACACATGTGTGCATGCACACAATAGATCCGAGGTCAATTCCAAGGAAACTGCTGCTAACCACATATTCTGTTCAGAGAAATTCAGACCAAGATCTCACCAGGGTCTCTGGGGGTCTCCTGTCTCCCACCAACCCCCTCTTTGCCCCAAAAGCAGACAGCCCCAAGGACAAACCAGTTACCAGCCACCTCTTCTGTGCTTGCACTTAACATGTTGGGACATGTTCCTGAGAGGCCAGAGGGACGGTCAAGGCTAATGCCTGTTGTCTGGGCATGCTCCCCATAGCAGTGGTTTAGGAATGGAGGGAAATGCAGCCAAAGGGATAAGAGAACCAGGCCAGCCCCTACCCAGGAGGGAAGTGATGACAGAAAGGAAAGATGGACAGTCCAAGCCTGAAGGAGGATGTGAGGAGGACACGATGGTAATTGCAAGAGTTACCCCTATAAGGGAGAGGAAGTTCTGGAACAATATCACCATTTCTCAGAAAAGGCCCGGGGAGTCCCAAACAGAGGCAGCCCACTTTAAGAGGAATTCACCTCCACACTCACTCTCAAGAAGTGAGATCTCAGGGAAAAGGCACAACAGAGCTGATTATATTGCTGAGCAGAAGGCCAGCTTACTTTTTTTTTTTTCTTTTCAAAAAGAATGAGATTGGGAGCCCCCAACTTGACCTGCTGAGACTTTACCTAGTCATCACAAGGACCACTGCAGTGAGGCAGAAAAATTGATGACAGAATTTATGCCACAAAAACACTTCCAGCCTCCCTAAGTTGGAAATTTCACCATTAGAAATTCATTCCTATGGCCTTAATTCTATTGTTCTTAAATAAAAGCACCTAGGTTAAGTGCTTAGCATAGTGCCTGGCACATAGAAATCTCACTCCTAAATATTAGTAATTTTTATTGCTTTACAAATACACCTAGGAGAGGCATCCCTTGGAATTGAGTAATCATTTTTACTTTAGTGAGTGTTTTAGATAGGTTTCTGAGAACACACTCTGGAGTGGAGAGTAGTTTAAGGAGGTTTCTAGTGGAGTGCATTTGTAAAGGAACCAAGATTGGGCAGGAAGAGGAGCTGGGCTATGATGGAGTCTGGAGGTATGATGGAGGCCTCTGCTGATCCCACAAGGAGCTCTGGGGCTGGAATTGTCCTACAGACTTCCCTGAATTGAAACAAGCAGACTGGCCCTTTATATCCCTGCTTTGACTAGTGATTTGACTGTGGCTGCCCCCGAGCCGAGCACAGGACTTCTTTTATCTGAGGCTGACTCTGAAGAAAGTAATCAGCTGTATCAGCAACCAATACAACCTGACCTATCTTAACATGTCCTGACAGCCAATGGGGAGAACATGTGCCTGGGTCCTGAAGGGGGGTTTAGCTACAGCAGTGTGATTTGATCAGATCATTTAAGAGCTAGAAGGTAGCAAGGAAATTCTCTGAACACAGGCCACCTGAGGAGTGAAGGGGTCTCTGTGCCCGAGCACATGTTGTTCCCTCTTCCAGGAATGAGCACTCCTGACAAATCTATCCTACCTCCACTCCTTCCTCTACCTGTTGAACTCCTACTGATCCTTCAGGACCCAACCTATATAACCCCTTGGAGTGATGACTTCTAGAGGCTTCCTCTGGCTCCTAGAGCTCCTGCTGAGAAATCCACTCCACTCTGCACTACTGGCCTGCTTGGTTTATGCACCTGCTGCATCCTCTGAGCTGGGAACCTGAAGGGATGAGTCCATATTTTATTCATCTTTGTACCTTCAAGAGCTAGCAGCTTCAGTCAGAGCTCAGTGAATATTAATAGAAGGGCCATTTTTAGCCAGCATTCTGCAGTTAGACTTCAATGTTGCTGCTTCTGAGTCCTCTCTTTCATTTATTCATACATCTATTCACTCATTCATTCATTTAGGAATATAATATAATCAACATTCAGTGTGCAACCCAAGAACTAGAACATTACAAATCACTAACACCTTCCAGTGAGTTCCTTTCTTCCCCTACCTAAAGTAAACAGTATCTTGAATTTTATTTTAAATTTTCCTTGTTTTAAATAGTTTAGTAACATGTGGTCACTTATTTTGCCATGTGCTTTCTTACATAGGACTCGTTCTAGCCAATGAAATGTGACCATTAGTGACATTTGTATCTTTAGAGCTGAGATCACGTGAAATTTTCCAGCTGTTTCATATCCCAGGTGATGCCACCTCAACTTGGAGCCTCCGTTAGCCTGGGTTCCTGAGTGACTGTGTGGAGCAGAACACTCGGCCAACTTGTATGGGATATGTATGTGAGAAAGAAATAACACTGTGTTGTGTGAAGTAACCCTGTGTTGTGTGATAAAATCTCCACATTTCTCTATGTGGCTGTGGGTGGTTGTGGTTTGTGGAAGTCTCTGCACCCAGTGAAATACATCTCTGAGTAGTCACATTCTTTAGTAGTTGCCTCCCCAGAATATATCTGGCTTTTTAGTCAATAGAATGGTGCAGAGGTAATCTCATGCCCATCCTAGACCTACACCATAAAAAGATCTAACGACTTCTGTTTTGTATTCTTGGGGGCCCTGAGCTGCATGTGAGATGTTTGATCACTGTGAGACCCCCATGAAGTGAGAAGTCATGGGAAGAGTTCCTGCAAGATTAACTGACATCCCCCTCCCCCATAGCTCCAGCTGATCCCCTAGCTGCAGCCAGCATTGACATGCCAGGAATGTGAGTGGGACCATCTTGAAAGTTGATCTCTCAGCCCCAGTTGGAGAGCCTTCCCCGTTAAAGCCACAAACAATTCATCCCCAGTGAATCCCCGCCTAAATGGTAGAATTGTGAGTAAATATATGATTGTGGTTGCTCTATGTTTTAACATGGTTTGTCATTGTCAGACATAATTAAAACAGCGT